CTTATATAAATATAATTTATATTTATAATTATATAATTTATATATTTATAAGTTGAGTGGGTTGAGTGGTTAAGACTTTTTTAATTGACAACACATAAATAAACTCTGAACTAGGACTGATTCTGTATATTTTTTACGTATACAGTGTCCAGAAAATGGCCTCCTAACGCTATACCACGAAATATGTATATTAAGTTACATACAAGGTCCCTACATTCATATAAACCATAAATACTACTTTTGTGTCACAGTAATCTTAGCGCGTTTTTCTCCGCAGATTTATGGTTTTGTGGCTTACTCTCTAAAAATGAATTAGTCAAAAATGACTAATTTAATAGTTATTAGTGGCTGCTTTTTCACTTGTACCATGGTTAACCATGGAATAGCATGGTATCCCAAAATTTAACAGCCAATTCTTATGTAAAATAGTCCCCTGAATCCGAAAATATCGTCAAAAATTAATTAGTAGAAAAGTAGAACCATTGAGTAAAGAAGTGGTATGGTATGGTAATGGTAGAACAGTTTTTGAGATATAGTCAATTTTCCATTAAAAATAAAGGTTATGATGATTAAAAGTTTTGATATTTTGCAGCGCCCTTGTTTGTTTTGTTTCCATAGTAATATTTTTGAGATGTTGATATATTAGTTTAGAAAACACACAGAGTTGCCGAGTTTTTTATAGATAAAAAAACGTCAAAAATATTTTTTGTATCGCTTGTACAGCCACTCAGTGTCAAATTCTTAAAAATTCAGTTTCTGACGACTGTAATAACTATACTATTAAGTCCGCTGCACAATAGCCCAGTAACGGGAACGGGAATCCTAACAATAAAGGTGGGAGAGACTAAAAAACCACTGTTGATAAATAGGGTTCGCTGAGTCTCTCCCACCTTTACCGTTTATTTTCCCGTTCCCGTTCCCGTTACCGGGCTGTTGTGCAGCGGGCTTTAGAGTTACGTAAAAGAGTGGCTATACAAGCTAAACTATAAGTGATTTAGAAAAATAGGTATATCTTGACAAATTTGTAGGGCACAAAATTTTCTACAAAATTGTTATTTACGTTTTTTATCTACAATCAATAGTTTGGTCTCCAAATACGATTTACTGCTATTTTAGAAGATTTTCGAGTATATAGTCTGTAAGTTGAATATGTTCTTCACAAATTGCCGTTCTATAGAAGAGTATATATACTCTTCTATAGAACGGCAATTTGTGAAGAACATATTCAACTTACAGACTTGCTAAATGGAGATTTTTGAAGATAATTTCATCCTGTATAAAGACTTTAGAACCAAAATTCGTAAAAAATATTCTTACTGTACGAGCGGAAGGAGAAAAGAATAAAAAATTGTTAATGGTTTTTAAAGGGAAATATTTAAAAATTTAATAGCAACGGGTTAAAATAAAGATTAAGAGCATTGTAATAGCTCAAAATTTTTGTTTTCTGAATGGTTACAAAATTTTCAGGTTGGACTGAAAAAAAATGTTGCTCTAAAATGAAGCACCCTAGTGTATACACATATTTTTATAATTAATTTGTTTTTAATGTGTAGTTCCAAAGTTAAAAAACTTATATACATAGGTTTTGGCGTTCAAAATTACATTTTCTTTATATTTTTTTAAATTAATTAGGTACAATTAAAAAAATAAAAAACCCAAAACCAATATGCAAAAATATTGTATCAATTTTTCTAGGGTCAACATAGCCATTTATTTTTTATCAAATTTTGTCGCAGTGTAATTTAAACTTTATTATTTTCAAGACTCACTACTAGTGATTGATTATTGCTTAGGCTGTACAAATAATGTAGACCGTGATTTATACCAATCGGGTTTTTACCTCCTAGTCTGTAAAAAACCTGTTTGGACCAATCGAAAAATTCGTATACTGTCAGATCTACCTAACGTCACTTTCTACTTTTAATAATTATTATTATACCTACTTAATTGTACGTTTATTGTATTTTATTTAAGAAATAAAATGGTCCCTTGAAGATAAATTGTTTTCGGCTGAGAAGTGTATTTTGCTTACTAAAACTTCCCACTTCTCAGCCTAATGACATAAATAACTATTAGGTATTTATTTTGGTTTCGTCTTAAAAAAAATAAACTCTGAATGTCCCGCAAATTTTTAATGTTATGTCCCGCTAAAGCTAAATTTGAAGTTGGCAACCCTAGGACAATTAACAAGAAGTAGTCATCTTGCACGTTTGTTATATTTAAAAATATTGACAACTTCATTAAAGCAGAACAAAATAAACTATGTCAAAAATTATAATAATTATTATTATACATACATACAAAACTTTTAAAAGATTTAAAATAAAAATCGTAGAAAATAATATAAAATACTCTGAACATAACCTCAAATATTGTATACAATATTTTTTGTATATATACTAACATTAAGTTAAAATTCTATAGAAACGTTTAAAATAAAGGTTATAGGTTAAAAACAATGCTACAAGCTTCTGTTATTTAGGAATTGAAAGTAGTTTTTTAAACTTTAAAGTGCTATTTACGCATTCTGAAATATCCCTGTTGAAAAACCCGCATAAAAACTTATAAAAGTTCTATAATATTTAATAAGGATGTATGCGGTTTCTTAGTTTCTATAAGGTTTTGTCTAATTGCTCATAAGGGTTTTATCAGAATTCTATCAGTTTTTATAAGAAATAGTTTTATGAGCCGTGACTTATAAAACTTTTATTAGTTTTTATAAGACTTTACGAGGTACAAATTTCTATAAGAAATTCCAACTAAAATGTTGAAGTGAATTTATAAGATTTTATGTGCACAAGACTTTTATCAGTTTTAATGTGGTTCCTATTTGATAATTTTTTATGAGATTTTATGTGACTCTATGAGGGATGTAAGTTTATTGGTTTGTATAAGGCCTTAACTATTAAATATCTATAAGAAGCTATAAGCATATATGAGAAATGAATTTTATCGGATTTTATTGTTTTTTTATATCTAACTTTTATAAGTTTTTATAAGACTTTATATGGTAGGTGCAAATGTCTATAAGGAATTCCAGCTAAAATGTTAAAGAGTACTTATAAGACTTTATGTGCACATGGCTTTTATCAGTTTCAGTATGGTCCCTATTTGATCATTGTTTATGAGTGTTTATGAGACTCTATGAGGGATGTAAGTTTATTGGTTTGTATAAGGCCTTACCTATTATATGTCTATAAAAAGGTATAAGTAATTATAAGAAAATAATTTTATCGGATTTTATTGTTTTTTTACATCTATATAAGTTTTTATAAGACTTTATGTGGTACAGTACTTATAAGATTTTATGTGCACATGGCTTTTATCAGTTTCAGTATGGTCCCGATTTGATCATTGTTTATGAGTGTTTATGAGACTCTATAAGGGATGTAAGTTTATTGGTTTGTATAAGGCCTTACCTATTATATGTCTATAAGAAGCCACAAGTATTTATAAGAAATTAATTTTATCGGTTTTTATTGGTTTTTTACATCTAACTTTTATAAAACATAATATATACCCTTCATTCACTTATCAAATAAATAATAATACCCAGCTGTTACGTGTAACACCTATAAAATATTGATAACATGATGCGTATACGCGTATAATGCGTATTTACGCATTATGTTATCAATATTCTATTGGAGTTACAGTGTAACACTCTTACACGTAACAGCTGTGTACGAGTATTTATCGGATAAGTGATTATAAAGTTTTATGATTATATAGTGTCTTATTAAAACTTTTTTAATTCTCATAAAATATTATATAACATGATCGGTAAATACCTACTGATAAAGTTTAATAAGTTTTCACTAGAGCTTAAAAGTAAGACACCATATATAGTGTCTCTTAAAAACGTATACATACTCATAAAATATGTATATTATATTTAATATTATAACTACTATTCTACTGACTAGAGTTAAAAAGTAATGTCTCTTAAAAACTCATAAATACTCATAAAATATTATATAACTTGATGCGTAAATACTGATAGTTTAATAAGTTTCGACCAGAGTTGAAAAGTAATTTCTCTTAAAAACTCATAAATACTCATAAAATATTATATACCTTGATGCGTAAATACTCATAAAGTTTAATTAGTATTGACCAGAGTAAGGTTGCCTATGATAAGTAGGCATCTACTATAATATAGTAGAAATCTACTTATCATGGGCAACCATTATTGCATAATACATCTCGCTTATGTGGCACTATTCGTTAAGTATATAAGTTGACACTGGCTGCATTGCAATTTAAGATTTAGGAATACGAACCTCGGCAAATAAACGAGTCACGAATTGTGGCCTACGACAATTTAGCTTTTTCACTGAAATTCTTTGTTGGAGCCAGGATTGTTCCGTCTAGATCGTCATGGAATTTCCGTGGTCCTCTGCTTAAACAGTGCCTGCTTTGCAAGGCCAAAGCCGCGAACCCCCACAATTTACTACTTCACGTAATATTTTGATCGATTCGACGTCATCCAACAGGTCAAAACGACGTAATGGGTGACGAAATAAATACGTTAAAAGAACGTCATACTGTCAGCTGGGTAGTGTCTCTTAAAAACGTATACATACTCATAAAATATGTATATTATATTTAATATTATAACTACTATTTTACTGACTAGAGTTAAAAAGTAATGTCTCTTAAAAACTCATAAATACTCATAAAATATTATATAACTTGATGCGTAAATACTGATAGTTTAATAAGTTTTGACCAGAGTTGAAAAGTAATTTCTCTTAAAAACTCATAAATACTCATAAAATATTATATACCTTGATGCGTAAATACTCATAAAGTTTAATTAGTATTGACCAGAGTTGAAAAGTAGTTTCTCTTAAAAACCTATAGAATTTGAAAAGTTTGTATCAGAAATTGCTGTTTCATAGGCCCTATAAAATCTCATCAACTTTTATAAGTTTTTATAAGTTTTTTTTTTATAAGTTTTTATGCGGGATTTTCAGCAGGGATTACAAACTTCTTACCTCTTTTATTTTTTCCCTGCGTTCTCTGGCCTGTAATGTGCGATCTTCGCCCCCATGTATCATGGGATAGTGGTCACTGGCTGCGGGGGGTACGGTGACAACCCCAGCTTCCAGAGGGATACCCATATCTTCGGCTCCCACGTTCTCATCTACCTGGTTTGCCACATTTGCTCTGCTGGCAGTTGAAGATGTCTTTGGTCGCCCGAAATCGGGTCTTTCAAGCACTTTTAGTTCGGTATCTTGATCGATTTTGGCCTTTAACTTTTGCCTGTCTCCTATGATGTGGGGGTCCAGTTGAGCATCGGCCTCGTGCCTCACCAATTTCTGAGATTCCCTGCTGTCCTCTAAATGTGGCGGCGGAGGTATCAACAGCTCCGGTCCTGCTCTTTTTATCTGATCATAAACTTTATACATACTTTCCGCCGGGCCATTTGATCCCCGAAACTCAGGCAAGAAAAAGAACGTACCGAAACACACAAGTCCAAAAGTAATGAAAACCAAGAATATCACATATTTTTCTTTTGCCCTGAATGACCTGCGTGAAAAGGGCACCGGCACTCCGTTCACGATACGATGGTAAACGGGTAAAATTTGCGTTACGCTCATTTCTGTTTCAATTTTTTAATAGCTTGATCGTTCCTTCGACCCACAACAACACGCCATTAACGAACGACTGACAGATCCGCAGATTTCTGCTTTGCTCGCGAGCAGCTGCACAGGTGGGATTTCGTCATCTCGTTCTTTTTGTAAACAAGTTTAATCAGATTGTCATCTAACCTATGCAAACGTCACTAAAAAAATTTACTACAGGAAACTGTTATACTAAAGCACTATCTTACTCTTTTTGCCGCTAGATGGCAAGGCTGCTGCTGTTCTGCATATACCAGGTGTACCAGGTGTATGTGGCAGTGTTGGAAAAAATTTAGTTTGATTAACGATTTAAAACTAAAACTAAAGTAATTAGTTTAACTAACGATTGACGATTGAATTAGTTTTAGTCGTGAAAAAATTGAAATAATCGATTGAATTAGTTTTAGTTTTCAATTTTAATTGAAACAGTAATGTCGGGGAAAATGTAAAAGTAAACATATCATTAAATTATACAAATGGTTTGTTCATTTACATGCCATACATAGTGTGCAAAAACACAAGTTTATATGTTTATATAAATAATCTTATACTTGCTTATGAGCCATTCCACGCGTAACGGATACTACAGTTGCCGTGTTTTTATTTACAAAATAATATTGTTCTATTATATTACCAATGTCAAATTTTTATAAATAGTTCTAAACTAAAGCTGTTTAACAAGGTTTTTATTTGGCAAAATTAGGTATCGTGATTGACTGTTTAATTCCTTAAAAATTAATAATAAAAGCGTAACGGGCGGGACTTATGCTACTTACTACAATTGTTTTTATTTATTACGTATAATTAAGATGATTTTTTCTTGGTTGTACGTCAATGTTTCCGATTAATTTTATTTAAATTATTTTTCATGGCGATTCTTTTCTCAAATATCTCATCGGATAGTTTGTGTGATTTTGGTGAGTGGGTCATAGTTGCATGGAAAAACATTCAATCAACTGGTGCCGATGACGGCATAGGCGTAAATCAAGATACATACAAATCGTCTTCAATAGGATGGTTAGGTTGGGTGCTAGGTTTGGTTTGATTTTTTCGTTCGAATTTAACACTAACTAAGTAAAACTAATAACTAATGATAACTTGATTTTAGTCATGACTAAAACTAAATTTTCAATCGTGATTGATTTAGTCATAACTAAAATAATCACTAATTTTTTAGTTTGATTCGTCAATCGATTGAAAATATTAGTGACTAAGCCCAACTCTGGTATGTGGTGTATGTATCTTGTGTAGAGATGTAAAAAACGGTTTTTTTGTTTTTTTCAAATCCGCTACAATAAAGCATATTCTGTCAATAAATATCATCAATCTTAAAATGGAGTAATTTTTCCATATGAAATTTTGAGTAAAATGTATAATATACATATATTAGGTATATACATTGTATATTAATAATAAAGTGAAATGTAGAATATATATATTACATTTTTCATTATTGAAAATTTTGACCGAGACTAAAAAATCTGATTTCTTATTATTTGGTAGTTTCCACTTAAGAAACCTCTGTAAAACCTCTACACTAATAGAAAAAATTAAAGGATAAAAAAAATTCCAAACTTGCGATTTTTCGGATAGCTGTATCTTCGTTAAAAATGGTCGTATTGAAGCCGTAAAAAAAGCAATTTGAAGCCTGAAGTTTCTAGTTTTTAGATTTTTAGATGAAAAACGTGCAACACTCAATCCTAACGAATACCGTAATAAAAAATTCGAAATTTTTTTGGCTTTCTTTTTTGGTCCACGGAATGTTTTGACTTTACCACCAATGAATAAATGTTCTAAAAAAATTTGCTGCTTTTTTTGAAAAAAAAATTCCATACTCTACACTGAAAAAAATGTATGTAATTTTATTGTAAAATTATCTGAGTTTTCAAGGTATTTTTGTCATGAAATGCATGTAAAAATAAAATTACAAGGAATTTCTGGCATTTTTACAAAAACTTAACATTTTTACTATATGATTGTAAAAATATTTATTAGTTTTACTTTGTTTGTGTAAAATTACATTGCCTTTGTATTATTTTAATGCTTTTCCAATTTTACAAGTTTATTGTAAAAAAAAATATCCAATAAAATAAGACAAAATACTCACGTGACAGAAACATACAATATTTTTGTAATTTTACAAACTAATTGTATAAGTTTGACCAATCAAATCAGATAAATATATCACGTGACGCTCCCGACAACTTTGCATGCATTGAATCAAGATGTCTTTTTTGGTTAGAACGTGGTCCTGGTTAGAGCGTGTGCCGTTTTGTTCCTTTTATCGTTTTGTGGTAAGTATGATTTACAAATGTAATATTTGTCTAGAGACAGGTATAACGATACGGAGGCCGTATCGATACAGTATCGATACAAAAAAATTAATATCGATAATATCGATATTTTTACCATTTCCCAAGCTCAATGGAATAAAGAAAAAGTTCCCATTTTTACCTTTCCTCGAGTCGCTTCATGAATTTGTAGGTTTAAAGTTGAAAGGAAGTAGTTTTTGATCTAAAAATAAACTTTATTATAAAAAAACAAAAATCAGTCACAAGGCCAAATGCGCCTATTCAAATAATAACAAAAACTCACACTATAAAATAAACGTAATTAAGTATGTAATCACTCTTTATAAAGCTAGTTTTCAAAAAAATATATATTCATATATATTGCTAGTTTGCAACTGGACTAGAAGTGAAAATGAAAAAAACAAATAAAAAATAAGTTGAAAGGTACTACGCTCCACACATTAAAGTCCCATCACGTGACTAATAGAAATAATTAAGGTCAGTGTCAAGCAAATTTTGTCCTATTTTCTGAAACTAATGCAGTATTTGTATTTTTGGTGTATAAAGATCTTAATTTAGAACACAAAAAATACATGTTTATTATTTTTAGAAAATGAACCTTTTGTATATTTTTAAAAATTGGGCAAAAAATCGGAAACTCCAATTCCCGACTTATCGCCCAAAGATTCTTTGGCAAAGAACTGTTCTTTGTTATGGGCCACAGAGCCTCTGTGTTATCGGCTGCCTACTTTTGGTCTTTAATTTTACTTATAGATGGAGCTAGTTATTAACATTAACATATACTTACCAAGTAAGTATATGAACGCATTTTTAAATGTCAGTCACAGTCTGTGACTCACAGAACACATGGTATTTACGAGGTGTATTTTTAAAATTTCGTAATTCGTTGTTTTTAAATTAACGATATTAATTAACGATACGCAAAGGTCGTATCGATACAGTGTTTGCAGAATTTGTATCGATATTATATCGATAAGCGTATCGTTATACCTGTCTCTATATTTGTCAGTTAACATTTAAATCGATTATTCGATATGAAAATCATTTAAAATATCATAGATTTAATTATAAATCGCTTTTCAAATGCTTAAGAAAAGATTGTTTAAGGGAATTTTCAACTTATAAAAAAATATATTTACACATTAAACAAGAACATTGCAGTGTTGAATATTCTCAAAGCGTAAAATGTTTAGTAAGTAATTGTCACTTTTTTTCAAAAAATAAACAACAAATTATAAAACATGCATATAATCACATAAATTATGGAGTTGAGGTTAGATGTCCTTTTTATTTAATATGTAAATCTACCACAGCCTTTATAAAAGTTGCAAATTTGAAAATGCATGTGTTTCGCCGACATTCAATAAAACATAATGTTAACAATACAATCGAAGAATTATCCAATACTTATTTATCTAATGAAAACGTTGACTTTACATTTATATCGAAAAAAAGAGATGTTTTCAATGTGCAACTTTTTTGGAAGCTTTTCAGCTAATGTTTGGACTTTATTTTGTCCTAAATTTAAAGTACCCAATTGAAGCTTCCTGTGTTTTGGAATTTGTCCAAAGAAATTACCTAAAATTGCATCCTGACACAGGTGGAAAATCAAAAAAAATTAAAACTTCAAAGAAAAAAGTAATAAGTTTAATGAATAAATTAAAAAATTTTAAATTAAGTTAAGTTAAAAAAAATTTTTTTACTTTTATCGAGTTTTTCTTTTGTTAAACTGTTTTTAAATCATTTTTTAATAAGTTGCTATTTTATTTAAATATTTTTTAGAAGTATTTTTTTTTAATATATTATTATTTATATTATTTTATTTAAATATTTTTTAGAAGTATGTTTTTTTTTAATATATTAATATAAATAATAATACAGAAGATAAATTATTTTTGTTTATAAGTTAACTCACCAATCAAAACTTTCTTGGCCTAATTAATAAGGATTAATTTATAAAACAAAAATTTCAATTTTTTATATACACTGAAAGAAATTTGTTGCTAAAAGTAAATACAAATTTATACTAAAAATTTTATACTAGTGCTTTACACATTTATACTACTGTTTATTATGAATGTATGGTAAATTTTGTAATACATTTATTGTAAAGAAGATATGTTAGATCTAAATAAAAATAAACTTACCCTTACTATAAAATGTAAACTATAAGTGAATTACAGCAAAAAAATATTGCTAGAAACACCATTTATATTGCTAGGGCAGCAATAGGCTGCTAACCAAACGAATATATTTGTTTTAGCAATGTATGTGGTAGTCTATATATGAAACATAAAATATATTTGCCCTAATTATTTTTTTATTTAACTTTAGTATATATTTCTTTCAGTGTAGGGTCTTTCCATTTCAAAACGACCGGTACGTGCAGGTCATGATTTTCTTTTTCTATGAAACTTAAATATGTTGTTTTTTGGTCAAAATAATGAGACACGTATTTTTTTGTTTGGCGAAAAAAAAATTTTTTTGTTGATTTTTGGCGATTTATTTTTTGCGGTAAAAATCGATTTTTTCCATTGACCGAAAAAGCTTTTTTTTTAATTGCGTATAACTTGTTCAAAAATTGACCGATTTTGACAATTGAACTTGCAAAATGCTTGTACTTATTAACACTTTCCATTAAAAGTAACAAAAATTTTAAATTCATTGTGATAATTTTTTTATACGATAAAAAACGAAAAGTACGGAATTTTTTCAAAATTTAATTTTTCAAAA